TGTGAAATAAGTCAGACACAAAAGAACAGATGCTGTATGATTCCACTTAATATGAGCTACCCAGAGGAGTCAAATTTATAAAGACAGAAAGCAGAATGGTGACTGCCAGAGCCTGGGGAAAGAGGAAAACGGGGAATTAGTGTATAGAGGACGGAGTTCCAGTTTGGGAAGAGAAAAATGTTCTGGAGATGAATGAATGAAGGATGGTGATGGCTACACAACACTGTGAATGTACTTTATGTCACGGAACTGCACACTTAAATATAGTGAAAATGTAAATTTTGTTATGTATAAAACTACCTATGTGTAAAACTAAATATGTATAAAAAGCTACCTCAGGAAGAAAAGTTCCAATACACAAGAGATTACTCCCACGAAGAAAGTGAGATTCAGCAAAGCAACCAGACCCAGCACAGTGACAAATCCAGCCAGTAGTGAGGAGAAGCAGTAGTAACTCTTGAAGGTCCATTACGTTCACCCATATAATCCAGTGTAATGAAATGTAATATAACTTAAAGTACGTTTCCTCAAATTTAAAAATAAACATTATACAGGTATTGCAGATTAAAAATATAACAATGGAAACATCATTTTACAGAAACTGTATCTGCAGAATGACAATCCCTGAATCTCGTCTGATTAGCACAGTCTGAAGTGGTTGTGCACATCACAGTACAGTACCAGGAGGAAAACACAGCCATGCGGATTGCCGTCACTGTGAATTCACCATCGCCAACTTGAGTGTGCACTCAGCAAGCCCAGCAACCCTACGGCACTGCCTTAGCGCACTTACAAAGCCTCTTACCCAGACAGATGCTTATATATCCAGTCCTCACACTGCCAGCACTTCTATCCCATCCTCACTCTATCTCCTCTTTCCTTAAAATAACAGAATAAATTAGAAAAGAACTTCTATGACCTCCTATCTCCACCCACCTACCTGCACCTACCTACCAATGCTCCTTCTAGAACCTTCTAGAACCACTTGTGCCCTGGATTCCATACACGTTCACCTATGCTTGGATGCCAGTCAGCAAATACTGCCCCTTTATGTCTTCAAAACTCCCCTCAATGAAATCATTTCCATCAGCACATAAACATTGTTATATTCACCTCTTAAGGAAACAAAAACACTTCTCTTTCCCCATCACCAACGGCCCTATTTCTCTGCTCCTCTACATAAAATACTCCTTGAAAGAGCTTGCTATTTTACTCACTATTTTCATTTCTCTCCCTGAGTGGCCCCCACCACTGCCCCCAATTGTTTCTGTGAGGTCACCACTGATTTCATGTTGCTAAACTGGACGGTCAATTCCCAGTCCTTCCATCAGTCATGAGCAGCCTCTGATGTGGGATACCGCCCTCCTCCCGAAAACACGTTCTTCACTGGCTTCCTGGTTTTCCTCCTCTCTGGCTGTAAATTCCCCTGGGTACCGTCTGCTGTTCCTCTTTACTTCCCTAACCTCTGGACATTGGTGTCCCCAAGGTACTTGGACCCCTTCTCCGTCTACACTTGCTCCCCTAACACTCTCATCCAGTCTCATGATTCTAAATACCACTGTATGCTAATGACTCCCAAGTTTCTATCTCTAACTCATACTTCTCCTTGAACTACAGTCTCATAAAGTCAAATGCCAACTCAACAATTCCACTCAGGTACAGAGGCATCACACTCTCTGACGCCAGTCTTTTTTTTTTGAGACAGGGTTTTGCTCTTGTTGCCCAGGCTGAAGGGCAGTGGCGCTATCTCGACTCATTGCAACCTCCGCCTCCCAGGTTGAAGCAATTCTCATGCCTCAGTGTCCCGAGTAGCTGGGTTTACAGGTGCCCGCCACCACACCCAACTCATTTTTGTATTTTTAGTAGGGACAGGGTTTCACCACTTTGGTCAGGCTGGTCTTGAACTCCTGACCTTAGGTGATCAACCTACCTAGGCCTTCCAGAGTGCTGAGATTACAGGCATGAGCCATCACGTCTGGCCTTATGTCGGTCTTTCTGATCTCAGTTAAAAGCAACTCCAGCTATCCAACTTATCCAAAAAGAGAGTCACCTTTGGGTTCTCTCCTTTCCTCACAGCCCACATTTAACCAGTTAGCAAATCTTGGTGGTACCATCAAGAAACATCCAAAATCTCTATATACCTCACTGCACCCACAGTGGGCCCTGGCAGGGGCCTAGCAGGTGCCTCTGGCTTCTGCTCTTTCCCCTTCTTTAATTTACCCTCAACACTATAGCCAGAGACAGCTTTAAAGACTGACGGCAGATCTAGATGCTCCTCAGCTACAACCCCCTAATAAAAGTCAGTGCCCTGGAAATGGCCAAAAAACTCCTACACAACTCCAGCCCCCGAGCCTTACCTCTCGGAATTCATCTCCTATTGTTCCTACCTCGCTGGTCTCCGAATTGCCCCTCAAGTGGCCAGCTCTCACAGCAGGGCTTCTTCACCTGTCAACCCTTTTACAGGAAGACCTCCCCTACTTATGTCACAGATCCCCTCCCCAACTCTTTAACTCGTATTAACATCTCACAGGTGAGAACACAGAATGTATGCATTATTACACAGAAAAACAATTTTGCATTAAGCTGAATAAGCACAGACCCTAAGAATAATCTCTTTCATTCTAGAAACACAGCCTGGAGAGACTCACACACAGGCCCCGGAAGACAGGTGGAAAAGTGTTTATGGTGGCACTGCACGTAACAGTAATAAATGTAATCAAATGTCCAACAAGAGGAGAACGCATGAACTGTGGTATCTTCATACAACAGAAGGTTCTATAAGAGGGAAAACAATAAAGTGTAAGAAAGGACATGGATGAATCTTGGAAACATGTTCAGTGAAAAGTTATACAAAACTTCTTACACTAAGATACCATTTCTATAAAGTTCAAAAGCAAGAAAATGAAACAATATGTTGTTAAACCCAAATATATGCCAACTAATCTTCTCCCAGGGCTCCAAGAATACAAAGTGAGGAAAGGGCAGTATCTTCCATACCTGGTGTTGAGAAAACTGCATGTCCAAATGCAAAAGAATAACAGTAAACCCTTATCTTAAACGGTACACAAAGATCAACTCCAAATGGATTAAAGATTCAAGTGTAAGGCCACACGTTGTGGCTCACCCCTGTAATCCCAGCATTTCAGAAGGCTGAGGTGGGCGGATCATGAGATCAAGAGATCAAGACCAGCCTGACCAACATGGTGAAATCCTGTCTCTATTAAAAATACAAAAACTAGCTGGGTGTGGTGGTATGCACCTGTAATCCCAGCTACTCGGGAGGCTACGGCAAGAGAATCACTTGAACCCGGAAGGCAGAGGTTGCCGTGAACCGAGATCACACCACCACACTCCAGCCTGGCAACAGAGCAAAACTCCATCTCAAAAAAAAAAAAAAAAAAGATTTAACTGTAAGACCTGAAACTGTAAAACTCCTAGAAGAAAACAAGGAAGAAACTCCTTGACACTAGTTTTGGCAATAATTTTTAGGATGTGACACCAAAAGCAAAGGCAACAAAAGTAAAAATAAACAATACATGAAACCTGAACACTTCTGCACAGCAAAGGAAAAAAAAGTCAACAAAATTAAACGGCAACTTATAGAATTCGAGGGGAAGGTCAAGGGATATGAAGTTTCAATTACGCAAAACAATGAAGTTCTGAAGGTCTATCACACAGCATAATGCCTAATAGCTAGTGTTGTATGCTTAAAATTCGATAAGAGGGCAGATCTTATGTGAAGAGTTCTTATTACAAATAGTAATAATAATAGGAGCTAGAGGAAACTTTGGGAGGTAAAAAGATACGTCTATGGCCTTGATGATGGTGACGGTTTCAGGGGTGTATACCCAGCCCGAAAAATTAATGAGTTGCATACATTAAATACGTAAAGCCTTTTAACATGCCAATCATACCTTAATAAAGTAGTTTGAAAAAACCAATATATTGTTGAGGAATATCTATATATGTGGTAAAAACTCTTTTCTAAAATGCATGGATATAAAAAAAGTCATAATAGGAAGACAAAGAGTAACAGAAGGGCACTGAACAGGTAAACTGGCTTTAGGTTGCATGTGAGTACACAGGTGCTTACTTTGCACCCTAACTTACGTGTAACTTACATATCACAATTCTTTTGTTTGCATCCAAAATATGGCAATTTTTCAAGGGCACATGTGACCCAGTTCTACATCTGAAAGCACTGAGCATAGGAATAGTAGTCAGGACATGTCCGATGAATTCGAATGTATGTTCTTAAGGAGTTCAAAGTCTTATTTAAAAAATTACTGTATTTTCCCAGCATTTGATTCTGCTGCTATCATTAAAGAAAATCAGGGTATTTCCTAAGCATATATTAAAATATCACCATACGAATTTTATTCTCAGGATTAACCGAATACTAATGCTTCTCTAGAATTTTTAAATAGGAAATTTCTAAAACTGCAAATGCCAGTGGTCAGCAAGGATTGGGAGGTTCACTCGTCACTACTCTCATCTCTGATGTCTGAGTTCTCAACTGCTGTTTTACATACCTTGGTTGAAGGAGAGAAGAAGGAGCTCAATGCTTCTATCTGTTATCACTAACTTTATGAGGTATTTTCTACTTAAAAGGCACTCAGAGATTAACATATGAAAAAACAAGTAATTATAAAATTACCACCATTCTTGTGCTCTAGCAGAGTGGAAATCATAAATGGATCCTGCTAAAACACATACAAAGTAGTGATCATTTTAAATGATCTAGAAATCAATAAGCACACATAAACTTTTTAAAAAAGCAAATGAAATCACATTATAGTAACCAATGCATGTAAACCACTAGAATGTCAACTCACGAGAGTAGACGGTTGCTCCTTCACCACTGTACCCCTAGCACCACTGGGAGACACACAGTAAATATTTATTGAATGTTTATTTTATTTTAAAGTCAGAAATTTCCTTTTACTCTAAATACCAATGATATATCAAGCAAGATACCAAGAGAAACAACTTATCCTTACCCTCTTGGGCACAGGAACCTTTCAACCTGCATGTATGCAACAGCTTCAACAGCAACTGGAGGCATCTGTCAGTCTTCAGCAAGGGCATGTAGGCATTAGTTCCAAACTTCATAAGCACATCCAGAAGAGGATCTAAGAATATCCGCAATACATTCTCTGTTCTCTGCTTTCCACTAGACATTAAAAGACATGCCAAAATCAACCATTTCAAAAGCATAAGCAAATTACTTCCCACCTATAATTTGTGAAACTGCTTGGTTAATGGTTCCAATCAGACAAAGTTACTCTCATGAAAGACCCAGACAACCAGCACCATGGAGGACTCATCTTCTGGTCCGTGCCTTCCCGTGAGTATAGCGATTCACTAAAGAAAGCACAGGGAAGAACAGCTGTCCTCAATGCCAGGAGCCAGTAGGAAGGAAATCCTAGACCCAATTTATTTGTAAATTAAATTGCTGAGACCCTGCTTCCATAATACAAAAATATAAAATCAAAACAAACATAACTTAGTCAAGGAAATACAACATGTTTTTAAAAATAAAAATAAAAAAACCTAAGGATTTATTTAGAACTGTTATAACCAATATTTTTTTTTGAGACGGGGTCTCACTCTGTCGCCCAGGCTGGAGTGCTGTGGTGTGATCATAGCTTACTGCATCCTCAACCTCCCAGACTCAAGCAATCTTCCCACATCAGCCTCTCAAGTAGCTGGGACCACAGGTGTGAGCCACCATGCTCAATATTTTTTTTAATTTTTATAGAGACGGGGTCTCACTTATTTTCCCAGGCTAGATAACCAACTTTGGTACTAAATCTTTGTCTGGAAAAGAGATTTGATATAAATCACATTAACTGTATGTCATGCAAATATCCTACCTGATCTACCTACTGAAGCTGCTTATTGCAAAACTATAATCTAGTGAAAACTGATCTGCTTACATTCTCACAAAATATAAATAATATTATCTTTATTATCATTTTTTAAAATCATGTATTTTACAAAGGAGTCAAATCCAATAAATCTCTTGACCTAATGGAATCTTGTAACCTATTTCTAATACTCTGATATAAAACCAGTGATTATTATTATAGTTTTTTAATCTTCTCTAATTTAACACTAATTTTTTTCTTTCAGATGGAGTCTCACTCTGTGGTCCAGGATGGAGTGCAGTGGCATGATCTCAGCTCACTGCAACCTCCACCTCCCGGTTCAAGTGATCCTCCCACCTTAACCTCCCTAGCAGTTGGGACTACAGGCACATGCCACCATGTCCAGGTAATTTTTGTATTTTTAGTAGAGACAGGATTTTGCCATGTTGGCCAGGCTGGTCTTGAACTCCTGACCTCAGGTGATCTGCCCACCTTGGCCTCCCAAAGTGCTGGGATCACAGGCTTGAGCCACTATACCCAGTCATCTAATTAACGTTAAGTTGTTAAGTTTAACATTTAATTTACCAATCTAAAAGCAATAATATGCCCTTATTCCTATTTGTTTTTAACTTTAAACATTTTTTTGGTATACTGTTAATATTCTAGTACCCTATCTTAATAGCTGTGATCAACTCACTTCAATCATTCAAAAATCTGAATACACATCATAATTCTGATCAGAATTTTTTTTTTAAATAGGCTTTCTTTTCAATTATAGAAACAATTACCTATATTGAGTCTTCATTCCTTCCACATCCACAGCCAGCAAGACCATCAGAGAAACAAGCTTGGCTTCAAACCAGTCAGGCATAAAGCAGTTTTCTCCCGCTTAAAATACAATAGTTAAGGTTTACAAAGCATTAACAAAAGTCTTCAAGGATAATGCTTAAAAACAAAACCGCTAAATGATTATGCTTTATTAATATTAAATTAGGAGAGAAATACAGCTGAGAGGAAAGACAGTAGAACACTCTAGAGCATGGCTCATTATTATACACACATATTTCAACATGAACAAAAAACAAATCTGTGTGCCTGCCACATGCCGTGCAACTACCTGGGTGCTACAGACACAGTGGCTTCTGTGCTCATGGAATTTAAAGTTACAGGAGAAAAGCATCAATCAAAGAAGAAATAAAGTCATATAAAACTGCAATTGTAGTGAGGGCTATAAAGAAGTACACAGTGCTAGTGGAATGTACACTAGGAAGACATGCCCTCATCTGGAGAGTAAGAGGAAGTTTCCCTGAAGAAATGACAACTGGGCTGAGTGTGACAACTCAAGAGGAAAGAAGAAGGGACACAAGGACTTTCTAAACAGAAGGACGAGCGTATCAAAGGTCTTCTGGCAGGAGAAGGCATGCTACATTCCAGAAAATAGAAGGATGCTCATGTGTACACTAAGTGACAGGGAGTAGCAGAAACTGAAGTGGCATAAACGGCAGGAGAGAGACCAGGAAACACTGTAGGCCACACAGAGGACCTTTGACTCTGCCCTAAGGCAAAAGGAAGCCACTGAAGGTTAAAGGGAATATATACAAAGAAGCGGAGGAAAATTATCTAAGATCAAAATTTGTACTTTGAAAATTTTTATCTAGGTACCATGTGGAAAAGAGACTGTAGAAGAAGCAAGAGTAGATGCAAGGTAATCCCTTAAGAGGCAATTCCAGTATTTCAGCTGAGAGAATGTTCCCTTAAATGTGACCAGAAATGAGATTAAATGAATAAAGACATTAAATGAAGAAAGAGGCCATGGTCTCTCAGACCTCTATCTGACCCCCAGTTTATATCTATTTTAATAGGGACTAACATATATTTACTTCAAATAATCTTCCAATGTAACAGCACAGGACATTTACTAGAGAGACCAAAAAAGACTAAAAACACAAAAGAGAAATGTTCCAAGAATAAACTCATGCATTTTGGAAGGATAATTATCTGATCATTTAAGACCTATTCCATGGTTAGATTAATGAAATCAGGAGATGAAAATGACTTTGTGTGAGACAAAGCTAGGAAATTGAAGAAATGTTAAATTTGAAGATGCAATTTTCCAAAATTATCACTGATGACTTTAATGAAGTGGAAGCATTAGGAATGTAAAAAGAATCCTAATTAATGAATCTGTTAAGAGTGCTTCTCTAGGCTACACACGGTGGCTCACACCTGTATTCTCAGCACTTTGGGCAGAAGAGATGGGCAGGAGTTCGAGACAAGGTCAGGAGTTCGAGACCAGTCTGGCCAATATGATGAAACCCCATCTCTATTAAAAATACCAAAAAATTAGCCGGGCATGGTGGTACACGCCTGTAACCCCAGCTACTCAGAAGGCTGAGGCAGGAAAATGGCTTGAACCCGGGAGATGAAGGTTGCAGTGAGCAGAAAGCGCACCACTGCATTCCAGCCTGGGTGACAGAGCAAGACTCCGTTTCAAAAAACAAAGAGTGCTTCTCTAATGAAGTCTTATATATTTCCTCAAAGAAAGGACCTTTGTAAAACTGATGTTGCAAAGTATCTGCTGAGTTTGTGTCGTTTGTAGGGACATGGATGAATCTGGAGAACTCATCCTCAGCAAACTGACACAAGAACAGAAAATGAAACACCGCATATTCTCACTCATAGGTGGGTGATGAAAAATGAGAACACATGTACACAGAAAGGGGAGTACTAAACACTGGGGTCTATTGGGGGGAAAAGGGGAGGGCCAGTGGGAGGGGGAGGTGGGGAGGGATAGCCTGGGGAGAAATGCCAAATGTGGGTGAAGGGGAGAAGGAAAGAAAAGCACACTGTCATGTGTGTTCCTATGCAACTGTCTTACATGCTCTGCTCATGTACCCCAAAACCTAAAATCCAATAAAAAATTTAAAAAAAAAAAAAAAAAAAGTATCTGCTGAAAAGAAAACTAATAAAACTATCCAGTTTTTGTTTAAAATTGTTTTCCACAATCAGTATATACTGAACATAGTGCTTTAAAAACAAAAAAGATGAACACATGTTTCTACTGCACATATTTCTCCTTTAGAGGCTCCAAAACCATATCTGCAGTATCTAGTTCACAAGGACCCAGTAATTGTAGAATAAATAAATTACTTTGTGTCCACTTTTTACTCTGGCAACTTACTAGCTTCCTTAAACATAAAATAATTTAAAATCTCAAGTCTCAGAACAAATAAAGTATTAATTACAGGTTAGGAGACAGTATCTTTACTTTTTTTCTACTTTCAACAAGTTTGGCATCAATAAATCATCACATATTTCATAAAGCCTAACTCTCAGTCTCAAAAAATAGTTAAAAGTTCTTTGAAAATATTTTGGTTTTATCGATCCATAAAAATGATTGCAGACTTACTTTCCCAAGCAGATGACTTAACATACTCTTGAACAAGGTTCTTCACATAAGCATTTAAAGATGTCTTCTGAAGTCCAATGGAGCTACACAGTGGGGATGGCTTAAAATAGCTCTCATTAACATGTAGCCAGTCACACAGCTGGAAAGAAAACAGTTATTAATTTATTTTAAAAACCTAACTGAACAAAGGGTTTCTAATTTCCTTAAGCCAATTTTCTTTCCTTCACGATAAACTGAATTTAAATAACTGACTACAAAGTAATAAACCATTTACTATGATAATTGAGTTCCACAGACAGTAAAAACACAAAAACTATCTGTGTATATATATATATGTACGTATATATACGTATGACATATATATATATATATATATGTGTATGTGTGTTCTCTAATCTCCTTCAAGTATAAACTTCAATAGGCAAGAATTTCTAATGTACCTTATACAAAACGTACATTTTAATGAGGTATTCTAAAGATCTCTATAAAAAATAACACATTATGTAAAACAAATTACAGCCTTCAACTAAAACTTCTTCCAGCTTTACATGCTAAAACAAGAAGTTTCATCTTTGAGAGAATGTAGAATTTGAAATGTAAGTTATAATCAAAGTTCCTACCCTCCTCTCACAAATTTATTCTCTATTATATGTGCATATGAAAGTACTGTATGTTAATTTAAAAGAGAAACACTGCCCAAGGCCTTCTCCATTACATCTCTTAGAAAATCTGCAAACAAAAGTCACACAATTTCACAACTCATCTTTGATTATGTGTAATGGTGACACTTTTGTTTTAAAATCTAAATATGTTCTTAATTTCCTTTCTATAGTATCTGTCTTAGTAAGCAAATTCAATAACTGAGTTTAAATATAAAAAAAATTATGATGAAGTGAGTCTTTCTAAAAAGTAAGCATTTTTGAAAAATTATTTTTTGTATCCATTAGGGTTATTCAAAGTTAACTATAAGGAGGCAAAGGAAGAATATATCACTTGACCAAAGACAAAACTGATGATGAATGACTCAATTAATGAATTGGTCAAGACCAACACTACAAGGTACAATGAATGAGCAGTTCAGTAATGCTAAAAGAAATTGTTCTGGGCAGGTCTTTAACAAGTCAGATGATCTTAAGATATTATCTGTCTAACAGCGAGGTCAGCCAGTATTTATCTTTTAACAGTATACACTTTTCTTTGTATTCCTCTAAAACTGGCCAGACTAAGTTTCCTAATTATTGCTATAAAATACGTGAGGCTTTTCAAATCTTATATTTCCACAGGCATGATTCTGCCGTACAATTATTTTTGACAACTAAACTCTAATTCATATTGGATTTTTTTCTATCAAATCTGTCACAAAATTCAGAGTATTTCCCCTTTAAAGAGTTTTCATGTCAAGACTTATGGTTTAAAATGACATCTAAATGGCAGTCTCTGGTAGGCAGGCTCCCTTGATTCCCCATTAAAATACAAGTCTCAAAAATCTATTTGGACACATAAAGAGAACGAGGACAAGCCAGAGAATGAGAGAAAATATTTGCAAAACACATATCTGAAAAAGGACTGGTATCCAAAGTATTCAAAGAACTTTTAAAACCTCATCATGAGAAAACAAACAAGCTAATTTTAAAATGTACAAAAGATCTGGACACCTTACCAAAGAAGACATACAGATGGCAAACGGCATATACAAAATGCTTAGTGTCATATATTTTCAGGGAATTGGGAATTGAAACAATAAGACACTACTATATAGCTACTGGAGTGGCTAAAATCCAGAACGCTGACAACCCTAAGAAGAGCATGTGGGGCAGTAAGACCTCTCATTCTTTGTGCAAAATAGTATGGTTCGAAAGATAGCTTGGCAATTTCTCATAAAATTAAGCATAATCTTAGCACTCAATCTGGCAATTGTGCTCCTTGGCATTTACCCAAATGAGGTGAAAAGTTATGTCCACACAAAAACCTGCACAAAGGTGTTTACAGTAGTTTTATTCCCAACTGCCAAAACTTGGAACCACCAAGATGTCCTTCAGTAGGGGAATGGATAAATAAACTGTGGGACATCCAGATAATGAAGTCTTAGCACTAAAAAAAAATGAGCTATCAAGCCATGAAAACACATGAAGGAACCTTAAGTGCATATTACTAAGTGGAAGCACCAATGTGAAAAGGCCATGATGTCCTGTATGATTCCAACTATATGACATTCTGGAAAAGACAAAACTACAAAAAGAGTAAAAAGATCAGCTGCCAAGGTTTGGGGGAGAGGAGAGATGAACAGGCAGAGCCCAGAGAATTCTGGGGACAGTGAGACTGTTCTGTATGACACTGTAATGGCATTACACATCTGTCAATGCACAGTGAACCCGAATGTAAACTATGACCTTTAGTTAATAATAAATATGGGGGTTATCAACTGTAACAAATGTAACACACTAATACAAAATGTTAACAATAGGGAAAACTGTATGTAGGGATAGAAAGAGCACTATGGGAGTATGTGGGAACTCTGTACTTTTTTTGTATTTTTTTTTATATTATTATTTTATTTTTAAAATATATTGAGACGGGGTCTCTCTATGTTACCGAGGCTGGTCTCAAACTCCTGAGCTCAAGCAATCTGCTTGCCTAGGCCTCCCAAACTGCTGGGATTACAGGCATGAGCCACCATGTGTGGCCAGAACTCTCTGTACTTTCTATTTAATTTTTCTGAAAACCTAACACTTTCAAAAAATAAAGTCTATTAATTAAAAAATTATTTAGGATGAGCTACATGAAAGTGGCATTTCTATAGGTTTAAAATGACTGAATATCAATGATTTTACATGCTTTAACATAATATAATAACTAAATTAGGTAATAATGAGAACACTATGTAATGAAAGTTATAGGATACAGTCAAATCTACACTAAAATATATACACATATATGTAAGTGCCTTCGAACAAAAAAAGAATGAAATCTGGATTCAGCTATAAATCACCAACTATACACTTTCTAAGGGTAACCAACATGTTTCTCTCACTGACCACTGCATTCCCAACACTCAGCACAGGGCGTGGCCTGCAATACACAGTTCTCAACAGACGACTCCAAGACATCAGGAGACAGGCAAAACAAATGAAAGGAGAGTAAAAGAAGAAAAGAGATGAAAACAGACACTGATGTATCACAGAGCTGAGAAATCCAGGGGAGCAGACACAGAAATCTAAGAGCTGGCTCCTTAAGAACAAATAAACAATAAAACAGGCAAATGCCTCACTCCTTAAACCAAATGGTGAAAAGCCATTAGTCACAGTAGATATTTACATTTAATATGGGCTAAAGGTAGCCTAAAGCATTTTTACATGAATTTTCCCTTTCAAACCTCACAACTCATACCAGACACCAAAATAAACTCCAGCTGGATTAAAGTCCACAATTTTAAAGCTACGCCTGTTAGCCGCAGTGAATAGGCCTTATTTGAATACCTGAACAAACAAAACTGAACATCTGAACAAACAAAAATAAATACATTTTTAAAACATCGTTAGTTTTTTTAGGTGTGGTAAGGGCTTTTTTTTTTTTTTTTTTTTTTGAGACGGACTTTCGCTCGTTACCCAGGCTGGAGTGCAATAGCACGATCTCGGCTCACCGCAACCTCCGCCTCCTGGGTTCAGGCAATTCTCCTGCCTCAGCCTCCTGAGTAGCTGGGATTACAGGCATGCGCCACCATGCCCAGCTAATTTTTTGTATTTTTAGTAGAGACGGGGTTTCATCATGTTGACCAGGATGGTCTCGATCTCTTGACCTCGTGATCCACCCACCTCGGCCTCCCAAAGTGCTGGGATTACAGACGTGAGCCGCCGCGCCCGGCCCCAGGGCTTATTTTTTAAGCCCTTCAAACTCCTTATCATTTAGCAATACATACTCAAATATTTATAGATGAAAAATAAGATTTGATAGGATTTGATTCAAAATAACCAGGAGAGGAAGGGAGAGTAGGATGTCCAGGTGGAAGAAGACCACCCATGAGCAGCAATGGTAGATGGTGGGTAATGGGCATGTGAGAATTCATTATACTCTTCTAAGAATTTTTAAATTTTTCATAACTAAAAAGCTACCAGGAAAAAAGTAAACAAAATCAAAAATCAAAATGAAACTGAAAAGATGCCCGAACTTACAAATTTTAAGAGAATGATAAATTAAAATTACGCTGGAATGCCTTTCCCAACCACCAGATTGGCAAAAAATCCTGCTTCACAATCGGCACTATCATACTGTGAGATTTCTGCAATGCTATGGTAGGCCCCAAAGATACTGAGGTCCTAATCCCGAAACCTGTGAATGTTATCTTGTGCAGCAGAAGGAGGTTTGCAGATTAAGTATTCTGAGATGCAGACATTATGCTGGATTATTTGAGGGGGCCCAAGGTAATTCTAAGTGTCCTTATAAAAGGAAGACAGAGGCAGATTTGACATAGAAACAGAAGAGAAGAATATGATGTGAAGATGAAGCAGACGTCTTGAGATGCTAGACTGCTGGCTTTGAAGATGGAGAAAGGCCATGAGCCATGAAACACAAGCAGTGCAGCTCCAGAAGATGAGGAAATGGACTCGCCCTACAAGGGAGCACGGGCCGGCCAGAATCTTAATGGCAGCCCAGTGAAACGGATTCCAGACTTCTGGCCTCCAGAACTGTAAGGGAATAAATGTATATTATTTTAAATCATCAAGCTGGTGGTAATTTATTACAGCAGCCATAGGCAACTATAGAGGGAAACTGGGCAATCCCCAGAGAGATTACACAGGCACCCAACCTCTGACCAGAGATCTCAATTCTAGGACTCCATTCTGCAGATGTTCCTAGAGACTATTTATTTATTGTGGCACTGTCTGTAAAAGCCACAAGACTGGACAACTCAACAGTTCAGCAACAGGGAAGCTGAATAAACAATGGTACAACAACCAGATGGAATACTATGCAAGCATACAAAAAAAAAGAACAAAAAGGGTCTTTGCCTATTGACTTAAAGAAATCACTAAGAATATATATTTTAACTAAAACCTGCAAGGTAGTAAGCAGAATCTCTATCAAAAACACCTTTGTTTAGGAACGGGGTGGGGTAGGATAAGGATCAAGGCAGGATTGAAG